TGTGGAGTTAGGGGCCTCCTCTCCAATCACCTAAGTTTAGCTTTTATGTCAGAGTAGCTCTGGGAAAAAAGTAGGTCATCAGAAGTTGCTTACCTTCCAGGTTTTCAGGGTCCAGATTAGTGTACTTCAATATAGCCTTTGTGAGGCGTTCTAAAAACTGAGATGGGTTTTCCTGTTTGTCCTGGACAACCTCTTGGAGTTTCTCAAAGTTTACTGGCTTTAAGGCTGCCTTTCTTAGGCTTGCCAAAAGACATGTTATAAATCAATCTCTAGCTAAGATACCACCTGCGGAATTATAATTCCATCGAGGATCCTGGTCAGGAATTGCCTTAGATCTGATTGGATATGTTCTGTCTGTTTGATGAATCTGATCTGCATGCATTTTTGCCTCTTCCCAAAATCTCCTGCATTCATCAGGAAGTAAATCGTTAGTGAGAATCATATAAACATCATGGAAAGTCAAGCTATAGGATTGGGTGATGTACTGGAACTCTTTAATAAAGACAGAGGAGTTAGAGGTATAGGAACCCAGTCTGTTCTCTATTTGAGAAAGTTCGCTCAGTGAGAAAGGAACATGTACTCTGACCAGACCGTCAACCCCAGCCACTTCCCTTAGAGGAAGGACAGATGCTGGTTTAGGTGTCCCTGGAGGAGAAGGAATTGGGGGTTTGGCTGTGACCTTAGAACGCGTGATAGGAGGGGTAAAGGTTGGTGCCAACACAGGGTGATTGGAGTGGCCTGCAGCTGGCACAGGAGGAGGAGAGGGGTCTGGAGAGGTCGGGCTAGTAGACTCTGAGGTATCCTGGTGAGAAGAAACTGAGGCAGCAGTTTGGGCATGGAAACAGGTCTGCGACGGAAAGGAGGTGGTTCGTCAACTGGATTTAAGGGTGTAGTGTCATCTACTGGGGGGTTGAGTAGGTTTCATGGTCAGAAGAACCTGGGGTGGGGAACAGGCAGAACACATGGAGGGATTAGAGTGCAGATAGATGAATACTTGGATATAGGGAACTTCTTTCCATTTACCAGACTGTTGGCAGTATTTATGAAGATCCTTTAAACGATTGGGTCTAATGTGCCATTAGGTGGCCATTTTAAACCATTATCTAGAGGATATGGAATCCAGACTTTATTGCAGAGATGTATCAATTTGGAAGGCCTCAAATCAGTCATTAATTTTAGAGATTTGAAGTTATTCAGATTATTCACCCAGTAGGGTGTCTGGGGGAGCAGTCGGTAGCGCCCATTGGGTGATGGGGGGCTGTTACCGAACTATTCGTATCAAAGTCCTGAGAGAAAAGTCGGTAAAGAATCAGGCAAGCAGCCTAGATATCAGGTCGTCATGAGAATATCTAGGGGCCTCGGCAAACTCCTGGAGATAGCCAGAAAGCAGTTCTACCTGGTACCAGGATTTCTGGCTGCTGCAAGAGCTTTGGGGGTGGGGGTTGTGAACTGCTTTCGAGGAGAGAAGTCACCCAATGGCCAAAGTCCTAAGTCATAGGTCACCCAAGAGACCAGTCATATAGACTGGGGCAGTGAAATGCCAACCCCTCAGCCCAGGAAAGGCTGGCCATCCTTTATCTGGGCATTTAGGGTCCCTCCCGGCAATTGGAAGCTCCTTACCAATCAATATGCCCATGTGTGTTTGCGGGCTTATGCAGTCTGGTATCAGGAAAGATGAAACCTTGATGTCTGTGTAGGCCTGTCTGGCTGCCTAGCCCACATGGCAGAGCAGCACATTGTGGGGGGCACAGTTGGCACAGCTCACGGGGTGGAAGTTTCGTGAGCCTCGAAGCGGCAGGTGGAGTTGGTCTGCAGCAGCATGGAAATTCATGCTGTCAGTGATGGCAGTTAGCAGTGGATGGAGTCCACGTGGTGTAGCAGTGGTGGCTGTGGCAGCGGCCGTTGGTGGCAGTAGCAGTAGGCCACGTGGTGTCGGTCTTGCATGGTCACAACAGCTAGCAGCTGCCACCCGGCAGCTGCACAGCAAGTTGCAGTTCCCAAAGTCTTCAATCTCAGCCCAATGCACCAATGTTAGAAGTCTGGGGGCAGCTTAGAACAGACCACACCAGACCAAGTGGTTCCAAGGGTGGAGGGGTTATTCAGGAGATAGGGCAAAGGTAGCGGGGGAGAGAAATAGAGGAAGAAGATGGAGGAAGAGAGTGAGGTCAGGGGGTTCTGCCTGTTTTATATGGGCAGTAACATAGCCTCTCCCAGGTAAAGGTGAGGTAGCCCCGTGGATCCTTGGAATGTATGGAGGTTGCCTTGGCAACGATGTGGAAGTCGCTTAGATGTGATGTCACTGAGTTTGGAGCCTGATACCAACAAGTGTCTCTAAAAAGGACATCTGTATCATAATGCCTTCATACAAGGCTCAGAGAACAATGGAACTGGGGACAGAGATATTGTAAGAGCCAGAGGTTGGGAAAGCCAGTGACAAAGCAGTGTCTTCTGAATATAGCAGCCACTGAAATCATGAGCTAACAACAGCTTTAGTCATTAGCACAAGCCCAGTCAGCATTCCATCATGGATGAGGGAGGAGCTCATGAGGTCCCTGTCCCTAATTGAGGAGGTAATGGCAATTGATACCTGCTAAGGGAGGAAGAGTTAGTTTTCTTCAGGGCTGTGACCCCTGGTAGATTGACAATGCTCCAGTGAGTGACTTCACAGTCAGGAGCATAGGCAGCACTAACTGGGCTCAGGTATTTAAAAGGAACAAGGGAAAATAAAACATGAAGTTTTGCAGGATGTGGGTAGCTGGCAGTCCGGGAGGAGTTTGAGATGTGAGGGAGGCCCATGGTAAAAATGCACTATATACATGTACCAAGTTCTCAAAGAATTAACTTGGAAACTTTTAGTGAGTTAATGAATAGAAACATTAGATAAATAGTTAAAATATCATGGAACTCCAATTTATTGGTTTCCTTGAGAATGTAATTTACTGCACTACACTACAGGCAAGTAATAGCCTCAAGAAGATATCAGGTCCTAATTTCTGAACCCTGAAATACTACTTTACTTGGAAAAAGGTCACACATGAAGTTAATTGAAGGATAGGATCTTAAGGTGAGGAGATTTACCCAGATTATCTGGGAGGAAAGCGTACTCTAATCCTAAATGTCAGTACATAAGAGGATCAGAAGGAAACTTAAGTGTACTATACAGGTGGACAAGACCAGACTGTAAACACTGTAGCAGTCAAAAGTTTGAGGATATTTCTTTGCCTTTAAGATAGAAATGTTGTAGATAACGTGCCACAGCATTCCAGTACCACAGCCGTCTGGACCAGGCTACTAGAAGCTGGAAAGGGCAGGAAATGGATTCTCTGTAGGAGCCACTGGAGTTATCACTGTGATGCTCAGTGAGAGAGGTCATTAGGGTTTTGACTTTCAAGAACTGTGAAAAAATAAATTTTAAGCCTTTAGGTCTGTAGTAATAATAGAAAAACAGCACAAACTCAGAAAAATTGATAATTGGGGGAATCAAGTACTTTTTTCCTTTCGTTCTATATGAACTCATCCATTCATGAATCTTTAATCACCCATGATATTAATGTGACTTTTTGGACAGATTTGGAGAAATTTGAGTATTATCATTAAACTTTTAAATGTATGATACTGTGGCTGGTTGTATTTTTTTTTTAAAAGACCCATGAACTCATTAGTCAGTCAGTCTTAATAGTTGTTACTGTTGTAAGGCCCCCAGAATGGGGAGACCCCCCCCCCACTCAAACCACAGGAGAGTTCGACCATCCAGAATCACGCGAGAGACCAAACTTGCTGCAAACCGCAAAAGGCTTTATTTCCTGATTTCGGGGTATCAGTCGACTAAGGCCAACACTCACAAGCGGAGCATCAACCCTGAGGCTCGAGAGCAAGGGGTATTTAAAGGAGAAAACCGCAAACCAGGGAGGTGAAGGGGGAAGTCAAAAAGAGGAACAGTAGTTAGTCATAAACCAAGGTGGGGAGTGGGAAGCATCCTGTACTCATTTTTCTCAGGAATGTGACCTTAACCTAGCCCATTGTGGTCAGTCACTCCCTGGGGTGATTTGACCAACCTGTATTTGTAGTTCTGCTATTCTTTGTTAGAACGACCTTGGCTGACTTGCCCCCTGGCTAATTCTTCAGGTGGCCAGCTAGTTCCTGGAGCTTAGGCCTGTAAACCTGCCAACCTTAATTCAGATGGAGGGGGGGGTTCTCTATGAATTTTTATCCTTTCATCGTGACCAAACTCATCACCATTTTGCTGTTATATAATGTGATGTTATCTATAAGTGTTTACCGTGTATGTCTAATGTATGTTGTAGTTACAACATAAGCATTATAACACTGAATAAAACTATCTTTGAGTTATCCAGCAGTTTAAACATTACATTATATGTATAGCTGTAAAGTGTAATCAAGAAAACTTCTTTGATGAATTTTAGAATATATTTCTGTCTTTCTTGGGTAATAAAGACTTGCAGGATTTGGGGTTTTTTGTTTTGGTTTTTGGGTTTTTTTTTTTAGTGGGAAATGAAGTCAGTACTTTATACTGTGTTGGGTAGAACGATTAGAGAGCAACCTTTTAAACTCAGCAATGACATGTTTTCTCTTTGAATATTTAGATTAAATATGCTATCAATAATCATTTTTTTCTAGCTTAATCTGTTTAAAATATCTTGTTACAGCTGGGTGGTGGTGGCGGACGCCTTTAATCCCAGCACTTGGGAGGTAGAGGCAGGCAGATTTTTGAGTTCGAGACCAGCCTGGTCTACAGAGTGAGTTCCAGGACAGCCAGGGCTACACAGAGAAATCCTGTCTCGAAAAACTAAAACCAAAACAAACCAAACCAAAACAAATCTTGTTACAAATAATAGCCCTTTGGAAGTAAATTCAAATTTACTTTAAAAAGTTACAACTTTTCTTTGTAGCCTGGAAAACTTTTTTAAAAAATCTTACAATGTGTTGTACTTTATAAGATGATTATGAACTGATTTTCATATAGACATCTCTCTTTAAAGGTTCTGGATAAAGCTGACTATCTAAGAGATATGGAAGCAAATCTTTTGCCTGGGTTTCTTAGGTTGCAAGAATTGGTAAGTAGTAAACGGCAGAGGCTTTCCCTCAGCACAGATCAGGTCTGCTCCCACCTAGTGTTATGTGCTCGTCTTCCTTTGTCATGATCACGGTTCAGGGATCCATAGTAATATTAACTCAGGACTTGATAGACTTAATAAATTAGCTTAGCTTTTCATTTTGAGCTATAAAGTAATTTTTATCTATTAAATAATTTTAAATGTTCACTCATTAATTAGAGAGGGCTAGACATTGGATTCTACAATAATTCTTAAATATCCTTTCATTTAAATCTACCAAAGTAGTGCTGTGCTTATTCTGATCATACGGATTTCTGTCCACTAGCCATACAATGTCACCATGCAACTTTCCACTTTACTGTGTGTTATCCTTGAATAGTTTTAAAGCAGCTGTAATTGTCATGACCTACCTAATGCAGAAATAGCAGGAAAGATTTAATAAGGATATGCATCAGATTAGAGAGTAGTTATCATAGGGGAATTTGTATGAGATATGGATCCTAAGAACACTTGTAGACAGGAGCAGGTACTACATCTGTTAGCCTCGAGAATGCCAAAAGAATATAGGAGATCAATGTTGTGAGGAATACAGAGTAGAGTGTGCAGATAAATGCAGCTAATGTGCACAGGCACGTGTGGCTGTCTGTTACAGGACAGTGGGCACGTTCAGCTTCATTCTCCCTTTTGACATACTAAATGTAATTTTTAACTATATTTCAAAAGATACCTCTTTTAGCCTTGGTGATTTGAGGGCGATACTACTAGTCATAGTTATTTACTATAACTATGACAATAACTAGTTATAGTTATTGTATAGTTATTTACTGTGTAATGACCATTAGTTTTTCTTGATAATTTGAAAACAAACAGAAAACTTTAATATTTCTTTTTTGTTTGTTTGTTTGCTTGTTTTTTTGGTTTGTTTGTTTTTTTGGTTTTTTGAGACAGGGTTTCTCTGTGTAGCCCTGGCTGTCCTGGAACTCACTCTGTAGACCAGGCTGTCCTCAAACTCAGAAATCTGCCTGCCTCTGCCTCCCAAGTGCTGGGATTAAAGGCGTGTGCCACCACTGCCCGGCAACTTTAATATTTCTTAATATGAAGTTATACAATATGGCAGATCTACTTTGATCCAACTCCATGTTTCCTTTTCTCTGAGTTGCTGTAGCTATTTTAATAATGGAAAATGCTAAATTTTCTTTTTCTGTCATCAGTTGATTGAAAGCCTGTGGTTCTTAAAAATTCTCATAGAAAGATTTTGTCTTAATTTTTCTAAAAAGTTTCTTAGTATCTACAAAATAGGTTCTGTATGACTGCCCTAGTGTTCATGAGTAACTGAAATGTTGATTAACCTACAGTTTTATGGAAATTCCAAGCAATTATATATGAAAATTTACAAATGGTTGCGCTTTCTGATTAGGTTTTCTAAATGTGGTTTATTAATATGCAAATAATTTGTTACATATATTAAGCTTTGCTGAGTTTAGTTGAAGATAAATCCAAAGGGAATTACTCCCCTTGGATTGTTAAATACTAAGTTACTTTTCTTCCTGTTTATTTATAGACTGACAGAAACGTGACTGTTATCTTTCTCAGTGAGATTATTTGGGAAAAATTTCGACCAAATACTGGATGCTTTGAACCATTTGTCTTATATTTCCCTGATTATAGCATCGGTAAGTTTTAATTGTTTGAACAAATAATCCTTGTTAAGATTTTTGTTCAAAATGTTAAGCTATAGCATGTTTAGATTGAAATGCTTAATATCCTCAACTGTTTATTGCCAGTCTCTAATTAAATGCTTCTAGTCCTGCATTTTAAAACTGTGAAGGGAACTATTCTCATAATTACTAAATGAGCAGGTCTCATGTATTTGTTAATAGTATACCTTCAACAGCACACACACACACACACACTCACACACGCACTCACATTGTGATTATAACATCCACACAAATAGGAATCATACTAGACTGGTAACATATATTAGAATTGGGAAGAAATCTTTATCATATACTTGGATTAAGTCCCTTGATGACTGTATCTTGATTCTGTACATCTTATTTGTCATTGCTGTAACTACTACTCTAAAAAATGCTAGTTCTATTGTTTATTTTGGGGGGGGGCTATATTTAATCTTAAATTTTATAGGTTCTAATAATTTTTCTCTCTGGAAAAGCACAGTACTTCTATATTGTTTAATAGCCTTGTAGATTATTGAATTTTGAGCTATCTCTATACACAGAAGATACCTCTAATTCAAAGATGGTAACTGTGAGGCATAAGGTGATGTAGCAGGCTGTGAGGAAATAGCATCCCGTGGTCTTGGCCTTGTTAACACTGTCCCTCTCATCTGATGAGCTATAAACATTCATTGCCAAGAGCAACACCATTTTGCCTTTTTTCACAAGAACAGAAGCCAAGTAACACCTCCTGCTCTAGCTAATTAACTGTTTTTTATTTAGAGGAACTCAAAATAGATGAAGATCTTATTTTTAATAGTTTCTCATCAATAGAATCACAAGAAAAAAATGGGGGAAAAATAGGAAAGAGAGGCTTACATCCAAGGATATGATATTGTAGAATCTTTTTTTTTTTTAAGATGTAAAACATGGATGAAATTTCAGGACAAAATTTAATGTAGCAATCTTTGTAGTGTTGTAGTGTAGGAAAATAAACCTGTTAACTGTATAATAAATGGAGCCGTGTTGCATCTGTTTATTAAGTGTTTTAGGGACTTTTAAGCTTAGCATAAACACTATAATCATTTATTTTCTATTAAAGTGAAGCATTAATTGGCAAACCAAATTATTGGCAGCAAAAGGATTAGTGGTTAATAGTCTCCTGCTATGTTAACTTGCTAGGTGTATCATTTTTAAGGTTTTGGTTTTAAGGATACCTCCTTTCCAGTTATAGCCAGGGTCAAATTTAAAAGTCTTGTTTTCTTGTCGTTAATACATACAAAATGATTTGTTTGTTTTGTTTTTCTTTTGAAGAGATTATATATGCTTCATTAGATTTGGTTTAGTTACTGTTCCGTAACAATTTGAAGATTTCAGTGACATAATTTCCTACCTCAGAAGCTATGTGTTCGACCCATATCCTCCGTTTCCTTCCTTATTTATTATAAGCCCTTGGTTCTGCTTACTAGGAACCTGTAATATTCTTTTGGTTTTAATGAAATATAAATATAAGAAAGAAAATAGCTTTCATCATGTATTCTCTCTAATGTGTTTTTGTTATTCTAGATCTATAAATATAGTTTCATCTAAGCCAATAGTTCTCAGTCTTGTTAATGCTATACACCTTTAATACAGTTCCTCATGTTGTGGTGATCCTCACCATAGAATTATTTTGTTGCTACTTCATAACTATAATTTTGCTACTGTTAGAATTGTAAGGTGTTCTGTGTTTTCTGATGGGCTTAGGCTACCCCTGTGAAAGGTTTGTTCAACCCTCAAAAGGGTCACAACCTGCAGGTTGAGAACCACTGATCTAAGCAAAGGTGGTCATCATTTCTCCATGTGCTTGTCCCCACTCGCAGCTTTCATTTTCCCCGGGGCTGTATTAGTTGTTGTAGGTCATGTGATCCTGTCCTGCTGCAGGTAGGTTATTTCAACTAAAAGTCCTCTTAACTTTACTTTTTTTGGCATAGTTTTTATTTCCCTGTCTTTAAATTCATCTTTTGTTTGTTTTTCACTGAAGTTTATCTTACCCTCCTTTAGACTTTTTCATCATAGAGCCCTTTTTGCTTTTTTTCTCTATTGTTGAACATATGAACATATCTATAATAACCTAACCTGTTACTTTCATTGTGGTTTTCCTTCTGCTAACCCCTTGCCCCACCCCCAAGTATTATGCTTCGTCTATCTACCTTTTTAAAAACTGAATGATACATATTGTGATTTGAACATTTTTAGGCTATATTTGATATGTTTTGGGAGGAAGGATCTAGAATAGTTTTTATTTCAGGGCTAATTTTCTAAGACCTAGCACCTTTGAAATCTCACTGGATGCCTTGCGTTCTTCATGGTCTGTGCATTCTGACTAAAAGTAACATTAATAAACCCATGTGAGCTGGGTATTGTCTAACCTTTAATTCTCACTAATTGGTTTTTTATGCTTTCCTCTGATCTACGGAAGTTGTTCTTATTTGGCCTTATGATGTTTTACTCTGTTCATATATAAATATATATGAACTCAAAACCATTTGGCAGGTTTCTACAGCCCCCTCCCTTTTTTCCATTGCTTTAGGATGGCTCTTAATGTCCTTGGGTACACTACCTGAAAATCCAGGCTGTCTTAACTCGACACCATCCTTTGTATCCTCAGCTCAGTGAGATTACTTAGTTCCTTTAGCCTCTTTTTGTACCACATCTGGTTAGAGAACCCGAGTGAACCAGGTATAGTGGTGCACAACTTTAATCGCAACACTCCAGAGGCAGACACAGACCAATCTCTGAATTCAAGGCCAGACTGATCTGTGTAGAGTGTTAAGACAGCCAAGGCTACACAAAGAGACCCTGGGGTAGGGGAGGAACGGAGGGAGGGAAGAAGGGAACACAAGCTGGGTTGATGGTAGGACTCACCTGTTTTATTATTCCAGGGCTAATTTTAGCTTTTTCTGGTACTACAGCCTTTTATTGCTTTTTGTTTGATGATTGAGTATATTCATCCACAGTTAAGTTGTTCATTACAGAAAAGTTCTGTCTGTGTTAGGGTGGCTTTTCTTTCTGTGGTCTATGCCTTAAAAGCAAAATTATAGGACACTCAGGCCCATCACAATGTTTTTCTCTTTGTGTGCTATCCAGTAGTTTAGTGTTTGTTAGGCATGATTTTTTTCATTACTCTGAGTAACCTTAGGCTATTAGATTAGACATGATTTGGGTACTTAGATTTTACTTATTTTGTATGTAGTCTATACTCAAGCAACTGGTTGTTTTTTTAGCAATTCACTGAGAATTTTGATTCTTCGAGTGTTCCTCATGGCTGAAATGGGCCAGTGGCAATATCTGAATTATTCCTACTGAGAACACTTTCTGATAACAAATACTGTAGGTTTTGTTTTGTTTTTTTATTCATCCAAGAGTCTATTCTTCAATTGTTTGGCCCAGTTTGGCAATGATTTGTCAATTCCATTGAAACCATCTTCCAGGACTTGGTGTAGAAATCACAGGTTAAAGGCTCTGTCTCACAGAGCTGCTTCTGCAGATGCCAGCTCCAAGTACCGAACTGTCTTCCAAAAGCTGACTGTACACTGGGGTTCCTGTGGTCCACTCTTCTGGTTTCTTGGTTTGACTGTAGGGCTCACAGAACTCAAGAAAGTTCTGTATTTTCTTTCTTACTATTGTACTTACTACTGTCAGATTGTCAAAGATTGGGGAAAAAACCAGACATGAACAGTTGTCCAAAAAATGCAAAATTGAGGTTCAAAGAGGTCCTGAGCCTAGAAAGCTGTCCCTGTGGCCATAGTGAAGTGTGTTACCCAGCCCGTGGGTCCATTAACCCTCTGTACTGTCTCTGAACTCCATCATCTAGGGGTTTTCATGGAACCTCTTCTATATAGGTCCAGTTAACTAAGTCATTGCCTAGGGGGATGAATTTGGCCTTCAGCCTAAAAGCTAGAAAGAAGGGCCCCTAGCGACTGCTGTCACCTGTAAGCTTTCTAAAGACCGAGTCAAGTCACCTCTTTAGTGTAAGCTCAGGTATGTTTAGAAGGGACTTAGTGGGAGGTGCTTAACCCATCATTTATGAAGTTTTGTGCCAGGAAGAAAGAGAAGTACAAATTATTCTATCACATAATTTCTCTTTTCTAACTGACAGCCACTTTATTTTTCTTAATTATTGTTGTATCTAAATGTTTTTTTAAAAAATTTATAAAATTCTGGAGCATAATTATTGTGGTTCTGTGTTGATCATTTAAGTTAGTTATGTGTCCTGTGAACAGGGAACCTTCAAAAGATCCTGTCCCACGATCATCCTCCAGAGTATTCAGCTGATTTTTATGCAGCCTACATTAATATTCTCCTTGGAGTTTTCTACACTGTCTGTCGAGATCTGAAAGAGCTCAGGCACCTGGTGAGTGAACATTTTGTATGTGCATGCACACATACACATATCACATACACATACAATATATGTGTATATCCTTTAGAAAATTTTGAGACAAGCTAGAAGCCAAGAATATGTGTCAGAAATTTGGAAAAGTCATCTTGAGGCTAATGGATTGCTGTCTGTGGGTTAGCACCTGCTGACAACTGATAAGAAAATTGTATGCATTGTTAGTAATACCTTTCCATTATTGTGAATGTTTCTTGGAGTTGTGAAAGGAAAGAGGCAAGGCTGTCTGGTTTCCTTTTAGAAAGCTTCAGTGAAGGCATTGAGGGAGGTGACTCACTGAGGGGTGGAGACTGGCGATCCCCGGGCCTGCTGGCCAAGCAGTCTAGCATGGAGAAGCCCTGTCTCAACAAACAAAAACTTTCATTTAATATTTAAGACTTTATCTCTGTGGTTGAAAAGCCCTAGAAGGGCCGGGTGGTGGTGGCGCACGCCTTTAATCCCAGCACTTGGGAGGCAGAAGTAGGCGGATTTCTGAGTTTGAGGCCAGCCTGGTCTACAGAGTGAGTTCCAGGACAGCCCTGGCTACCCAGAGAAACCCTGTCTCAAAAATAAATAGATAAATAAATAAAATAAAATAAAATAAAATAAAATAAAATAAAATAAAATAAAATAGAAAAGCCCTAGAAGGAACCTGTGTCAGTAGGTAATAGTTGGCTGACTGAAGTTTCAGAAGCTATGGAGGATTTGGAATGTTGTAGGTCCAGTCTCAGGCTAAGGCCTAAGATTGTTGAATGTTCATTCCTTGACCCCATGCCCACTCCGACTGGCTCAGGCCTAACATCCTGACTGTAGATAAAAACTTTTTTGGAGTAAACTAACAAAACTAATTTTTCACCAAACAAAAGGTTAAACTTGCTGCCAAGGAGCTGAGGTTTGCCAGCTGTGCCATAACCACCACTTAATGTTTCTACCAAAATACTCTAAAAGTACAACCTTACTTCTTTTTCTTTGAAACTAGCAATACTTCTTAAGGTACTAGTGAGTTTGAGTTTCTGTGATGGTGTGAATCTGTGATGGTGTGAACGAGAACGGCCTTCATAGGCTCACAAGTTTGAATATTTAGTCTTCAGGTGGTAGAACTATCTGGGAAAGGCTTAGGAGGTGTGGTCTTATTGGAAGAGGTGTGTTACTGGGGTGGGCTTTGAGGTTCTAAAAAAGTCCACATCATTTTGAGTTAGCTCACTCTCTGCAAATAAGGATCTAAGCTCTCAGCTGCTGCTCCAGTGCCATGCCTGCCAAGCCTGCTGCCACACTCCCCACCATGATGATCATGGACTAACCTTCTGTAAATATGAGCCCCAAGTTAAATGCTTTCTTCTGTAAAATGCTTTCTGCTTTAATTATGGTGCTTTGTCACATTAATAGAAAGTTAACTAAGACGGAAATCCTAATACAAAGTAGGAGAAGTTTGCTGATATTGGAGAAAGAGATGTAGGAGAAGTGGGCATGGAGTTGGAGAGCGAGCGGTACAGAACTTGGCTGGGCTGTTAACTGGCTTTGTTGACATGATGCCTTAGTAATTATTTTCTGTGCTTAGGTCTGAAAACTAAAATTAAGGCAAGAAGTTGGCTGAGGCAAATAGCTCTCTTTTATTCTTTTCTCTCTGAAGTTAATTTTAATACTTAATATTGTCTTCTGAATCTGAATTTGCACAGCTATATCATTATGTCTGTGTCTTCTCTAGGCTCTATTACTAAATCATTTCATCATAAAATACTTAAGATCAAATTAATGTTAATAAATTTCGCCTATGTGTGTAAACATGCAGACACGTTATACCAATTTACTAAACTTACATTTCAGTAGGATAGTAACATGGCAAATTAGTAAGTAGACATGATTAGTTAATCCTTCTCATACTTCCTAATGCGTAGAATTTCTAGAGACATTATTAAAACATGTAATAGATTCTTGGGTATTATGTTCCAATTGATTTAGCATGCCTGGGATAATGCCAAGAACTCATATGTGCAACGACCAGTGTGAACACTTTAAATCATCCTTAATTAGGTGATGCTTAATTTATGATGGTGTTCACATGCTGGAAAATAGCAGTTAATTGTCTGGCTTTGATCTTTTTATTAAACATCATTATGACTAACAGTACAAATTATGCCTTGCTGTTTTATTTGAGCCTATTAGGTAGGATTTAGCCAATAGCATGTTTGCTGTCGTACTTCGATTATTGATATTGTTATTGTTTTATAAAAGACATTTTACTTAAACTTGAATTTAAATAAAGTTGCATAATTTGTAATAAACTATGTGAAAAGGTTTCTAATTATAATTGTTTCCTGCTTTTTGTCTTCTCTCTTTTTAAATTCATAGGCAGTGCTTAATTTCCCCAAATATTGTGAACCTGTAGTTAAAGGAGAAGGTAACTAACTATAATTATTAACATTTCATGTGAGAAAAATTATACAAAATTTGAATTATTGAAATTATTTCCTGGGAGAAGCAGGTGAACGTGATACTCGCAAACTATGGAGAAATATTGAACCTCACTTGAAGAAGGCAATGCAGACTGTTTATCTCAGGGAGATCTCAAGGTAACTGTGTGTTTGCTTATTAAATATCACTTATCCAGAGTGCTAGGGTTTTGTTTTTGAATATTTGTATAGAATTTACTGATTAAACTCCCTTATCCAAAATCTAAACTCGAGAATACTTCAAATTTCTAAACTACTTAAACTTCATATAAAACCAACGTGCACATGTTTTCCTTTCCTTCTTCACATAAGTATGATAGAAAGAGAAGATTCAGCATATATAATAGGTACTCAAGGAGATAGGAAACAATGGGTAGGTAGTTATAAAGCTCAACACCAGAGTAAAGCAAACATCTGGGAAATCAAAGAAGAAACTTTTCTGTACCAGAAGTGTTCACAGCCCAGATTATCCAGAATGATTGACTCAAGAGATTCCACTTGTCTGCTGCGTTCTAATAAGTTAGCACAGCTTTACAGATCAGAGTGCCAGAAGTCTAAAATCAGGCCTTGCCATACTTTCCTGCAGCATCTAGTAGCTGCTGTCATCAGATTGTGGCTTTTCACTCTGTCTCTATGTCAGCACTTCTCTAGGACCTGTTCTTCTTCCTGGACTACTTGAATAGTAATCAGTAGAAATTCCAGTCTCAGTATCTGACTCAGTCACATCTGCTAAGGCATTCCTTACATAAAACAACATAATTACTTTCAATATCTTTGAAAGAAACATTGTCTACTATTAAGACTTGGGAAAAAAAAAGACTTGGAAAATGTTTAAACTAAGAATAAAATAAAAACATCTTTAATGTTCTAAGCAAAAAGTTGCTTACAAAAGAAAGTTAATAAAACTTGCAAATTGAATAGCATTTTTGAGAAACTCAAAGAGAAATGAAGCCAAAATATTTGTGTTTTCAACCTGTCACTCAAGTATTAAAGCTATAGAAAACAGAATTAAACAGGGAAGACTTTATAAGGCACCTCTGAGAGACACCAGGATACTTTACCCAAAAGATTAATAGTAAATACCAAATTTAATTTTATCTGAATGAAAATAAAGGCAAACACAGTGTAGAACAGTGTGTGAGTATATATTGCTTGATAAGCAATCATATATGATATGATAATATATCATCTTTTTAAAAAATGGCAAGAGGGCCAGGCATGGTGGCGCACACTTTGACTCTCAACACTCAGTGGTGAATTTTTGAAAAATACAGATTCATATATATTAGTTTTGCTTTTGTATGTTCTTGAAGGACTTAATCTTTATGTCTCAATATTATGATTGACTATACACACTTCAGTTGATTGTTCTATAGATTAATATGCAGTTGTATCCAATATGATGATTAGACCTGTTGGGAGCTTACAGAGTAGCTGATGATATTTATTATAATTTTGATAGCTTTACACCTGTGATCAGAGTAAAAAGGGTTATTAATAGATCCTGACATACACAGAGGTAGATGCTCACAGCTAACCATTGAACTGATCATGGGGTTCCCAATAGAGGGGTTAAAAGTCTGAAGGAGCTGAAAGGTTTGCAGCCCCATGGGGAGAACAACAATACCAACCAACTAGAGCGCCCAGGGTCTAAACCACCAGCCTCAGAGCACTTAGGGAGGGACCAATGGCTCTAGCTGTATATGTAGGGGAGGATGGCCTTGTCGGGCATAGGTGGGAGAGGAGAGCCTTGGTCCATGAATGCTGGATGCCCCAGTGTGGGGGAATTCAAGGGCAGGAAGGTGGGTGGGTGTGGGCACATCCTCATGGAAGCAGGAGGAGGGGTATAGGGTAGGGGGTTTCTGGGCTGGGGGGTGGGAAATGGGGACAGAGGATAACATCTGAAATGTAAATAAAATATCCAATAAAAAATATATGATAAAAATTAACATTTGTGTATTTTGTTACACTGTATATCAAATGGTTTTGTACAGGTACAAACATATACCTTGTATGTATTGTTGTTTTTCTATTTTCTAATGAAAGTGGTAGATTCTGTGGGGCTTTTTATTACTGTATATTGATTTCTTGTGTCTTTCAGTCTGTTTATGCTCTTGTGTTTTATTTTAGTTCCCAGTGGGAAAAGTTCCAGAAAGATGACACAGACCCAGGACAACTAAAAGGTATCAAGGAAAGCCTGAGGCGGTTACAGGGCCCTGCTCGCTCGTACTGCTGCAGATACAGTGCAGATACTCTTAGCCTTCAGTAGCAAATGCCAAGTTATAACACCTTCGTTAGGGATAGTCCTTCGACAGAATACCAATATTGTGTTTTTTAAGTATTAGATTCTTTTATATGAAAAATCAATTATTTCTTTTGATGTTCTCACCTAAATAATCCAATTGTATGATACAACTTTAACTCAGCATATGGAATTTTTCATGAGTTTTATGAAATAAAATCAAGCTTTATAATAACTCAGGTTCTTCAGTGGTTATATTTTCAAATGCTTTTGTTTTCTTTTAAGAAGGGTATGATGTGCTGGTATTGAGCTTTTTTGTTTTTTGGTTTTTTTGCTTTTTGTTTTTTCTTTGTTTCTGAGCACTTCAGCTGATTTACAAATGACTGCTAGTGGTATATTGTAGGAAAGAAAGATAAATGACTAGAGTTAGAAAAAATGCTATAATGTATCTGAACTACTTCTGTGTGGCTTCAGACTGAGCTAGCTGTTTATTCATTTTTAAAATGAGAGGACAAGCTAGCTTTAAATTACTACAAAGATGTTAAGTGATACTCATGTGAAGCTTCCCACAGACTGTGACATAGAGTAAGTATCAGATCCTGTCTTATATGAATGGAATTATGGGTATACAGAAAAATAATATACTAGATAAGGCTTCAGTGGATAATGTCTATTAATAGGGGTTATTTTTATAAGTAACTTTTAACATATCACATAATATTACATGGTTTGTATGTGTGGGGGAGAGGAGTGGAATAGAGGTAAATTTTCCTATTTTGTGGTCATATAAGGTCTTCAGGGATTGTTTAATGGAGAAAATAATCTCAAAGGAAGAAATAATGGCATTTAGACTCCAGGTTTGGAAGAGACAGTCAAATAGAGCAAGGAAAGCATGCCATTGATAACGTTCAGCACTATGGTACCAGTATCTGCAGTAGTAGCTGAGCACAGCTGTGGTGGGCAACCTGGAAAGGGTACTGACACCTAATGGCACCTGACGAATGCTCTTCTGGTGTTCTGTTATATAGGTCTCTCAGCGTATACCCACATGGAACTTCCATATTATTCCAAGTTTATTCTTATTGCTGCATACCTTGCCTCTTATAATCCAGCGAGAACTGACAGGAGGTTCTTCCTTAAGGTAATAGTAACATCTGTGTTTTTTAAAATCCTAGGACTACAGTTGTTCTTGCAGATTCAGACATACAAGCTTCAAAACTGTTGTATGTATACTGAACATGAAAAACAATTTTCTGGTCATTCTATAAATAATATAAAATTTTAATTATCTTTAGAGTATTTAAATTGTATTGGCTAATCTAAAGATGATTCAAAGAACAGAGCATATTATATAACTGGCATACTTATTTTTTTCATAAGGAACTTGAACATCTCTGGAGTTGTTTCTGTCTGAATGGTCTTCAGTGGATACCAAAGAATGACAACTTTGAAGTTCCTCTGTATCTATAAAATGTCTAAGGGGCAGAGATGAGACTAGGAGATGCTAAGTGCACAATTTAGACCTGTTAATGGCTCTACAATTACAGTCTAAACTTTGAGAGAATGTACGTAGTTTACAGAAGAGAGGAAATGGGGTCCAAGTTGTTAGTCTAAAACATTTCACTCCTTGAAACATTCTTTTTTTTTTCTTCCATTTTTATGTGTGTATGCATATATTCATGATTATGTGCATATGTGTGTGGACAAATTGAACATGCATATGTATGTACACACATATGGACTTTGAAATCATCCTGGGTGTCTCCATCAAGCCCTGAACTCACAGACTGGTGAATTTTGCTAGCCAGGTTACTCTGGGCATCCCTGATTCCTCTTTCCAAGGCTGGAATTGCAAGCAGGCTGCCACACCCATCAGCATGAATGTTTATGTAGTTCTCGACATCCGAACTC